ATATATATGTTTTATTTATATATATATATATATATGTTTTTATTTATAATATATATATATATATGTTTTATTTATATATATATATATATATATATATATATATATATATATATATATATATATATATATATATGTTTTTATTTATATATATATATATATGTTTTTATTTATATATATTATATATATATATATATATATGTTTTTATTTATATATATATATAATATGTTTTTATTATATATAATATATAATATATATATATATTATATATATATATATATATATATAATGTTTTATTTATATATATATATATATATATATATATATATATATATATATATATATTTTATTTATATATATATATATGTTTTTATTTTATATATATATATGTTTTATATATATATATATGTTTTTATTTATATATATATATATATATATATGTTTTTATATATATATATGTTTATATATATATATATATATATATATATATATATTAATATATATATACATATATATTAAAATATTGATATATATATTTATATATTATTTATTTATATATATATTTATATTATTTATATTTATATAATACATATATTATACATACATAGATACATACATATGTATATATATATATATATATATATATATATATATATATATATATATATATATATATATATATACATATATATGTGTGTGTGTGTGAGTGTGTGGTTGTTGTGTTGTGTGTGTGTGTGTGTGTGTGTGTGTGTGTGTATGTAAATCGCTCTCCCTCCTCCTCCCCTCCTCTCCCTCCCTCTTTCATCGCCCTGCTATATCGAGAACTCAGAGCAAGGTTATGAGCGGAGGGGGGAGGGGGGGGAGGGAGGGTGCGTGGGCGTGGGCGTGAGTGTGAGCCGCAACCTCATAAACTCATAAGGGCGGACTATGACCCGGCTATTATGAGGGCGCTGGACTTGGGGGTGGAGGTGGGGGAGGAAGGGGGGAGGGTAAGAAGGGAGGAGGGGAAGGAGGTAGTAAATGGAGGGATTGGGGAGGGGAAGGAGAGGAGAGGAAAGGAAAATATGAGAGAGGGAGGAGAGGAGATAGGAGAGAGGGGAGGAAGGAAGGGTGAGAGAGGGGAAGAAGGAAAGCGAGGGAGGAGGGGAGGCAGGGGAAGTGGAAGAAGGAAGAGGAAGAGGAAGAGGAAGATGAGGAGAGAGAGGCGGAGGAGGAGATGGGAAGGAGGAGGAGGAAAAATGAAGGAGGAGGAGAAGGAAGGAAGAGATAAGGAGGTGGAGGAGGAGAAGGAGGTGGAGGAGAAGAAGAAGGAAGAAAGGGAGAAGAGGAACGCGGAAGGAAAAAATCCTCCCTTCGAGGGCGCTTCTCCTACATCACACTACGGGGTGGCGGGGGGGGAGGGAGGAGAGGTAGGGAAGGGGGAGGAGGGGATGCGAGTAGGCGGGGTTCAACTTTTGCGCGTAGGGTGGGAGGGGGGAGAGGGAGGGGGGAAGTGTGAGGGGGGGAAGTAGGTAGTTTTAGTCAAGAGTAAAACGTGGGAGGGGAGGGGGAGGTGTAGGAAAGGGAGGGGAGTGAGGGAGGGGGGAAGGGGGTACAGGGGACTGTAAGATTGCGCTCTCCTTCCTTCCCGTGATCGCCTCGCCATGTCTTCGTTCTCTCATTACATATTTACTGTTCTGTTGTTGTAGATATTATTATTATTATTATTATTATTATTATTATTATTATTGTAGTTATTATATATTGATTATTGTTGCCCAACTTTCTTCTTCTTTCTCCTTCTCCTCTTCTGCTTCTTTCCCTCCCTTATTCTTCGTACTCTCCTCCTTCTTCCTTTTTCCCTCCCCCGTTTCATCTTCCTCTTCCTTTTTCCCTCATAAACCTCCTCCTTCTCTCTTACTTTCCTCCACACTTCTCCTCCTATCCCTTCTTCCTTCTCCCCCTTCTCTCTTTTTTTTCCTCCTATCCTCCTCTTCTCCTCCTCCTCCTCTCTGTTTCCCTCTTCCTCTTCCTTCTTCACCTTTGCCATCTCCTCCTCTTCCTTCTATCTGCCTTCTCTTCCTCCTCCCCCACATTTTTAAGGCTCCCTCGCTCCCTCCTCCACCCCCACCCCCTTCCTTCTTCATCTCCTTTTCTTCCTCCGCCTTCTTCCCTCCTTCCTTATCTCCATTTTCTTTCTCTTGCCTTTCTGTCTTCCTCCTTCCAGTAATTCCTTCCTTTACCCTTCTCCTTCCGTGGGAAAGAGAAGGAGAGAAAGAGGAAGAGAAGGAGGGGGCGGGAGAGGGAGAAATGGAGAGAGAAGGAGAAGTAGAAAGAGAAAAAGGAAGGAAGAAAGAAAGAAAAAAGAAGAGAGAGAGAAAAAGAAAGAAAGAAAAAATGAGAGTGAGAGATAAAGATAAAGAAAAAGAAAAAGAAAAAAAAAAGAGAGAGAGAGAGAGAGGAGACATAATCGTGCTGCTCTGGGCTGCCAGATTGCCACATTCAATTGTCTCTCGCTCTCTTGACCAGCTGATCTGTTGCGAGGGGAGGGGAGGGGGAGAGGAGATATGAGGGATTTCTTACTTTGTTTTTCTTTGGTTGTGTTTTTGTTTGTTTAGGTTCTTGTTTATTTGTTTTTTGTGTTATTTTCGGTTTCGGTGTCCTTCCGTCTTTGTATCTTCGTTGCTATATTGTTCTCTCTCTGTTTCCTCTCTATTTCTCTGTCTGACTTCATCCTTGTTCCTTGTTTTTTTTTCGGGTTCCCTCCTTTTTTTGTATTTTCGTTGCTATATTGCTTGCTCTCTGTCTGTCTGTCTGTCTCTCTCTCTCTGCCTCTGTCTCTCTCTCTCTCTGCCTCTGTCTCTCTCTCTCTCTCTGCCTCTGTCTCCTCTCCTCTCTCTGCCTCTCTCTCTCTCTCTCTGCCTCTGTCTCTCCTCTCTCTCTCTCTGCCTGTCTCTCTCTCTCTGCTCTGTCTCTCTCTCTCTCTGCCTCTGTCTCTCTCTCTCTCTCTGCCTCTGTCTCTCTCTCTCTCTGCCTCTGTCTCTCTCTCTCTCTGCCTCTGTCTTCTCTCTCTCTGCCTCTGTCTGTCTGTTACTCTCTCTCTCTGTCTGTTACTTCTCTCTCTCTCTGTCTGTTACTCTCTCTCTCTCTCTCTCTCTCTCTCTCTCTCTCTCTCTCTCTCTCTCTCTCTCTCTCTCTCTCTCTCTCTCTCTCTCTCTCCTTTTTTTCTTTATCTGTTTCGTTACATCCTTCTTCCTTTCTCTTTCCTTCTTCCTCTGAATCATACGAGGGAAATTCAGATAAAACGCAATATTGTCGTGATTTTTTGTATTCTTCCGCCCGTCGTCCGTCTGTCCGTTAGAATGTAGAGAGCGGGAAAATGTCGACTATAGACTTTTAGCAGGAAATGAGTACTATTTTCGCGAAAATTATCGATTTCTGGGGGCATTACAGGTGGTTAGCGATGTTTAGAGCGTTAAAGAAAGAAGAAATAAGGACGTTTTTTCGGCGCCGGAAATTTTGCGGACACTATTTCTGGCGAGGTAACCCCCCCCCCCCTCCCGCTTAAAAAAAAAAGTGTGGGGGGGCATGAAAATGATCCCGACACATCATATAGAAATGAGTTGATCCTGTTCGGTGAAATTAATAAAAACTCAGTCAACCATTTTTTGTTTTAATTAGAAATGTGCGGTGATTTTAACGGTACAGTAAGTCGGTGGCTTTTCGTGTCTGATTTTTTTTTTTTTTTTTTTTTTTTAATCTATTGTTGAATTGTTTATTCACTTATCGCTACTCACATTTAATAGTCAGTTTTGTTGTAGTTATTGTTGTTGTAAGAATTGTAGTTTTAATTGTTAGTGGAGCCTTTTAAGTTAACCTAATTTCGTGTTCTTTATCCCAGTTGTTTTGCGTCGTCTTGGATCGAGATATGAATGCAAATACATTTGAATACGTTCATGTTTATTGATATTGTAATGAAGAAGTAAGAGGAAGGAAAAGGCAATGCACAATTTGGCAAAATATTACGTATACTATATTATTTTTGTCACTGATTTTATTATCAGTTGCTATCATATCGATATTACTTTGTTGTTCCTGACGGTGAAATCATTTATGTTGGCAGTTATTCTCACCACAGCAACAGTGGGAAAAAAACAAGTGTCGAAAGAAGCGCAAACAAAAATAAATAAACAAATAGATAAACAAATAATTAAATAAAGAAAGAAATATAACGAACGAATCGATGAATAAAAAATAAACAAGGAAATTAATTTTAAAAATATAAATTATTTAACGATTAGGAAAGATTATCAAATAAGTAAACAAGTAAAATAAAAGTAGATTCACAAGGAAAAAGAAAATATTTATATAAATATAAATGAGGAAATAAAAAATGGCGTCTCACAAACACGTGGAAAGCAACAGAAGGAACAGGCAACCGATGAGGCGAGAGAAGCCATTGCAACATTGCAACAGCTGACTCGAGGGCGGCCGAGGGAAGGAGGAACAGCAGTCGACAGCCAGTTTCCTCCAGCTCGAAATACTGGTCGAGTCTGCGAGGAGTTGTCGCGGTGGAAGAGGGGGAGGGGGAGGAGGGGAAGGGTGGGGAGGGGGGATTAGGAGGAAAGGGGGAGGGGAATGGTGGGTGGTGAGAGGGGGGGATGGGGGATGTAGGAGGAAAGGGGAGGGAAGGGTGGGTGTAGGAGGAAAAGAGGTGAGGATGATAGAATATGGGAGAAGGGGAACGGGGAGACTAAAAAAGGATAGAAGAGGAGGGAAAGAATTGAGAGGAAGAAGAGGAAGAGGAGGAGGAGAGGAGGAGAGGAGGAGGAAGATTAGAAGGCGAGAGCGGGGGTGGCAAAGGTGCTTGAGGTGTCTGTGTATTTTTATAGGCTTGGTTTGCTTGTTTCCTTGTTCGACCTCAGCGGCGGCGTCCACAGGCCGGTGTCTCTGTCCTTAGAGTCCAACCCACTTCCAGAATCCACTTTCAGATGATACAGCCCCTCTTTTCCCTCCCCTACAGAGCGCCCTTCTGGAGGAGGTGAGCGGGTGCTCGGCGAGGCTGGTGCGCACCCTGGTGGGGGGATCGGCGCCCTCCGCGTCGGCCTCTCCCTCCGCCGCGCCTCCTTCGACGCCCGTCCCGCCGAGCCCCAGGATCGAGGACGGCGAGACGGCGTTCACGCAAGCCCTCGTCACCATCATCTACGAGTACCTGTCCGTCGGGAAGCCGCAGGCCATCACCAACTGGCTGGCCGCGCTGCAGGTGAGCGAGCGTAGGCCCCGCCCCCTTTTGCGGCCCCGGGAGGACGGGAAACTCGTCACTCGCTCGTTCATTCATTCGACTCGTTCGTTCATTCATAAAGGCAAATTAAGATGGTCTTATAGGTTCCCGAGTGAGTGGCTTGTTTCTTTTCGGGAAAGTGTGATTTGTTGATTCTGTTTGGAGGAATGGGAGCCCCTTTTCGTGTGATTTCAGCGTATGAGCGGAAGGAACGCTGTTGGTGCGTTAAAAATAAGTTATTCTCACTTATTTCCTTCTTTCCTGTCTTTATTCCTTTTCTTCTCTCTTCCTTTCTTCCCCGTTCTCTCCCATCCTTTCTTCTTCCCCCGTTCCCTCCCCCCCTTCAATCCCTCTCTCCTTCCCCTCCATCCCCTTCACCCATCCCTCCCTCCGTCCTTCTCTCCCTTCCCCCCCTTCATTCCCCCCTCCCTATCTCCCTCCTTCATTTCAAGCCAAACCTTCCCTCTTCCCTCCTTCTCCCTTCCTTCTTTCTCTTCTTTCCCCCTTCCCTCCCTCCACTTTATTCCTTCCCTTTCTCCTATTCCCTTCTTTTTCTCTCCTCTTCCTTCCTTATTTATCCTCCCTCCCTTCCTCATCCTTCCCTCCCTTTCTTTCCATATCCCTCCCCCTCCCTCCTCCTTCCTTCCTTCCTTCCTCATCCTTCCCCTCTTTTTCTTTCCTTGTCCTCTCCTCTTTCCTCCTTCCTTCCCCTTTCCTTGCACATTCCAGTCTACCATCATTCAATTAGAGACAGACAGAGAGAGAGAGTGACCGACAGACAGAGAAAGAAAAAAAAACAGCAAGCTCACTGAATAACAACGACTTGAAGCCTCCTCTCCTCCCTCCTCCAGGGCGTTCGTCGCATCTCCGTGCTGAGCCAGCGCGCCGGCCTCCTGCTGTGGCAAGTGAAGCTGATCTCCCGGGCTGCCCACTTCCTTTACTCCCTCTCCTCCGCCTCTGCCGCCGCCTATTCGTCAGGTGGGGAGTCCCTGTCGCCGATGGAAGTCACCTCACCGACCGACAGCAGCTGCAGCGTCGAGCCCAATCCGCTGGTGTCAGCTGAGCAGGCCCTCTCCCTCAGCAAGCGCCTCGAAATGCTCACGGACTCGTGGTTGGAAGGTAGGGCGGGGGAGGGAAGGTAGGATTGGATAGGCAGGGTAGATAGGGATAGAGTAGGTTGAGGAAGATAGGGGGAAGGTACAATAGGGTAGGTAGGGGAAGGTACAATAGGGTAGTAGGGCAAGATAAGGGTGCAGTATTAGGGGAAGGTAGAACAGGGTTGGGTAGGTAGAAGGTACGATAGGGTTAGGAAGGTAAGGGAACATCAAATAGGATAGGGTAGGTAGGGGTAGATAGGGCTAAGGTAGGTAGCGGAAGGTAGGGATAAGGTTGGTTAGGTAACAGAAGGTATGGTAGGATAGAAGGGAAGACAGGGAAGACAGGATAGGATACGGGTAAGGTAGGTAGGGGAAAGTAAGGAAAAGGTAGGGGATGAGGGGTGTCAAAGTTCAGTATGTGCTATAATTAATATTCTTAATGATGCTGATTGATGGTATATATCAACATGCTGAAATGTAGTTTTCCGCTTAACCCTTCCAGAAGTGTCGGAAGAGGTGGTCAGGTACCTCCGTGGAGAGAGGGAGAGGCAGTACTCGGCAAAGTGCGCCTTTACTTTGGTGATGCGAGACCTCCCTCTGCCCTTGTATCTACTTGGTGCTGAAGGTGAGGAAGGAGAGAGTTTGTGTTTGTGAGTGTGAAAGAGAATGAAATGAAGGCAAGTGGGAATGAGAGAGAAATAAGAGTATGAATGAGTGTGTAATTGTGAAGGTGAAATAGGGAGAGTGAGAACAGGAGTGTATAAGTGTGAGAGTGAAAGAGGGTGAGTATGTGAGAGAGTATGTGAGTGTAAATGTGTTAGAGGTTATATCAGCGTGTGCAAGTGAGACATCATGAGCTTGAGTGTATGTATTGTTAGACTGTGTGTGTGTGCATGTAGGCATGATTTTTTGCTGTTGTTTTTTGTTTTTTTGTTAGTGATGCTAATGATTTCTTTGTAAGAACTGGTCCTCATCTCAAAATTCTATACAAGACTGTCTCTTGGAATTTATAGATTAGTTTTTCCTATGTACTGATTAATCCTTACAGTCCTCTTATTCTCTTTGTAGACTTAACAGATCCACTTACATTACTGGCTGCCCTGCAAAAGGCCAGAGTGCCTTCCGCTGCCATTCCACCGCTCATCAGAATGTTATTTTCATCAGCGTAGACTATTATTTGGTAAGACATTTTATTTCTCATTTTGCATAAAGTTTAAGTGGTAAATTAAATCAATATGAAAATAGGACTTTCATGTGTTTTGTGTGTAGATTTGTGGAAAAAAATATATGTATATATATTTTTTCTTATTCTTTTTTCAGATTTAATGAGGGCCACCAGCAACAGCAATATAGTATAGAATTCATCATTATGTCCAACTGTAAAGTTATATTACTTCTAAAATAATTTCCGTTGTCTCTGCAGCAGTACAATGCATTGTCGAAATTGATCAATTTTCAAATCAACATTTTTCAGAGGGAAAATCAGTAAGTTATATATTATTGTTATGTAATGAAGATACTTCTTTACTTTTTATAATTAAAAATAACTGATGTAAACTTGTTTTTTCCTTATCCATAAAAAGAAAATTCAAGACTTACTTTCATGATACAACCATAATTAAACAAATTTTGTTATTGCAAATATTAACTTCGGTTATAGAGGTCCTTCACACATTTCCTTCTTTTTAGCTTCATGAACCTTATGAATTCAGAACATAACACTTCAAATTTTGAGTATAATAATATTTAAAGTTTAGTAGGTAACCTAAGAAAATGAACTAAAGGTTTTCTTGCCTTCATTTCTGTGACAAGGTGTCCCTTAGGATTCATAAAATCAAAAAAATTCAAAATCTTATATGCATCTTTAATACTTGTATTATCTTCCCTTTCTCCAACTTAGTGTTAAGTGTCAAGCCAATAAAATGATCAGACTTTTCACAAAGGAATTAGTCCATGTCATTTTGAAAATAGAGAGTCTTCACCAGTTCTTATTGTAAGAACCAGGTGGTGAGTTAATTTTCTTAATAGAATACTTTGTTATAATAAAGTAAATTAACAGTACTAATATCTACCTTTTTTAAGCAAAGACAACAACAGGTCTAAAATTCAGTATTATTGAAACTATCATCTCTTCAACCTCTATGGTCACTCTCCTTTGGTAGTAATGTACAACCGTCATTTAATATAATTTGTACATTAATTAAAGCTCCGATATCATCAAATATACATTTTCCATAAGTAGAGTCTGGATGAATATACTTTAATTCAATTTTTCTACAGCCACTATTCAATAAAGTTTCTGTAGTGAATGGAACCCCACATGCTGATTGAAAAAAACCGACTACATCCTACTCATGTAGTACATACCCATGAACTACATGACATTTGTGACATTCAAACTTGATATAAGATGGTTTACCTTGTCTCTTTTAAAGTGTTTTGTTTGTAAAAACAGAAAAACAGCATTAGATTTTCTTTTTATCTTCCCCATCTTTGAAAATACTCCAAATTTCTTACTATTTCTTGAGAAAGTAACTTCCCTTCTTGCCTGTATGCACTAGTAATTCCTTAATAAACCTTCCACCAAATTAATGAATGTCATCATTTTCCCCTGAAGTCTTCAGGCTTTTAGTCTAAAGTGCATGAACTTCTCTCTGGAGCTTCGGCCCACTGATGTCCTCCTGGTAGTAACTGCTCACCGAACTTGTGTACAATTCATGTTTTGTATTGATAGGGTAATCCATGTTCAAAACTGTAAGAGGATTAATCTTATGTTACCAAGGTGTGCATGTCTGCCTTTTATGTTCATTATTTACATTACTTTAGCAAGTGGGTGAAAAAGAGGTAATTCTTAATCGCTTTCATTTCGGGGAGTTAGGAAATTTGTGAGAAAACATTCCTACACTTGTGGTGAATGAGCAAATGTTACTACTAATGTTATTAATCAAGAAAATAATTTTTGAAAATTATAAACTTTGTACTATTAGGGCAGCTTTACTTTTAGTTGAATTTAGTTTATCCCATGATTCAGTATTTAGTTTAAACATGGTATAATTGTTCTAGTAAACACAAATGTCTTCTATTTACATCAGTCTTTGTGTTTGAAGTAGAAGCTCACAACACATTCAATAAATAAGTGGAATTAAACAAATTTGCATTTACCTGTAATAAAAACTGCCTGCAGAACTGGGTGTTTCAACCTGTATACCTTTACAAGCATCAGCTGTTCTTGAATATCAAAGCGACTAACAAATGCTTTTATACACTATAAGTACAACTATAAGTGTAATCAGATCTCCCCAACATTTTGCCATTATACACCATGCATAATGGTATACCTACTATACTAGTTTCACTAAATTACCTCCATATTATCATAACAAAAAAATAATAATTACAAATAAGTGATCATTACAAAAGCTACCACCTTGTGTTTTTTCATTCATGCAGCACTAAATATTACTACAGTTCAGGCACAGACACAAGATGTAAAATCCTTCTGTAAGCACCTGCCTTTGGATACATTCCCGCTGTTATTTCTATGTGCTGGTGACCAATGTCTGCTCCAACGTAGATATTTGTACTCCTGCTTCCACCTATGGTATATCCTTGTAGACATATGATTTTCTGTTGTTGCTGTAAAACCTCAACAAGCATGCTTTAGTTGTTACTTGGCATACAAAGTTCATGCAAGATGTAACACTTGTATTTCATGCATATATATATATTTTTAAATTATACCCACACAATGCATGCAATTACTACATGTGCTATAGAATAGCAGATATTATGTTATACAGTGTGCTATAGTTATTTTGTATAAGCTCTAATGTTTAGCAGTGCAACAACAAAATTAATTACAATAATCTACATACAGGAAAAAACAGTACATTGTAAAGGTGAAATAAGCTTCATTTGATGCCAAACAGTTTGACGTTACCTTCAATTAGTTTTTTTTTTGGTGTTCCTTTTGGGGAAATGCAGAAAAAACATATCTACAAGACACAAAATCCATGAATATTACATAAATTGATTTTACTTTGTTGTGCTTAGTATAAGCCTCTATGAGACAAGGACATTCTTTTAACATGGCCTGTTACATATACTATGCTGCTAAAAATTCTGAATTTCATGGTTTATGGCTGAGGATTTCCTTTGGTAGATTTCATGTAGGAAAACATATTTAGAGTTTATTATCTTTTGACTAAGCAAAAGTTGACATACCTATCATCCTATATTCAGTTATTATTGTGAGTTATTGAAATTCTGTTGATCAAATCTGTATGTATATAATGAATCACTACTATTTCTAAAGAGGGACCTTCTGTGGAAATGTAACACAATGTAGGAAACTAACAATGAAACAGATGCAGAGTGGAAGTCTCCGTCTCTGTCTCTCTCCTGTTGTTTCAAAGATGAATAATAAAAAAATATTTCCTTAGAATTTAAAAATTTATTTAACCATTATATTGATAGACATTCTCCTGAAATCTCCTTGTACAACTTACAAAGTGCTTATAACACATTGGTTTCCCAATATAAACTTCTTTTGGAATTTTTATTAAATACTGGGAGGATATCAATAAAATCATATCAATTTCCAGTAATCAGTTACAATAATATGAAACCTGATACAATATAATGTACAAAGAAAAATTGTAATATTAATTTCTTTTTATTTCTTCTTAATATACAACTCTTTGCAGTCTTATTTTTATTTCCTATTTATGTTAATATTTTCAGATCTAAATAAAATCTACATCAACTCTAATACAACCACTGAAAGAGCCTCCTTTTCACAGCATGTTAATTTTTCTTCATTTTAAGAATACCTGTATGACACTTGCCTAATCACAAGTCCAAGTGTCCATGAGAAATTAAATATAAAAACATTGAAGTCATAGATCATTTTCAAGACAATAATAATAATAATAATAATAATAATAATAATAATAATAATCATAATAATCATATAATATCAAAATGACCATGATGATGATAATAATGGTAACAATAATGATACTGACAATAACTGTATAAAAAAGAGAGAAATCTATCAATACACAGTACACTGGTAACCATCTGTTTGCAAAAAGGAATGAACAGGAATGTCAATAGTGAAACCTGGGCCAGCAAAACTAAATCATCACAAGTGGTTTCTTCCGCTCTGACAAAGAGAGCTTGTTATACTGCTTCTAGGCAACACAGTATATGGGTAGATTAGATTTTGCGCATCACAAATGGTGTGACGTAATAAAAGCGGATCAAATCTTTCAACGGTATTTTGTACAACAGCTCTTAGCTACGGTGAGTGAGTACTTACAACTTTTTTTTTTTGCGATTTTTCTTCAGATTTACAAAACAGAAATATGGTTATATATGAATGGAATTTATTTAGAGTTAAGTAGAAACTAATTTGTGACAAAATATATATTTCATTCTTCACAGGCAATGAAAAAAGAAAAAAAGGACAAAATGATGAAACAGAAATAGAGGAATATTCTAATTAACAGCAAAAACAAAATGTGCTTTCATAAAGCCACAACACATTATATAGGATGGAAAGAATATAAAACGAAAAGCTAAGTCCTTCCTCGTCTCATTTTCTTTATCAATGCATATTTGGAGAAAAAGGAAAGATGATAACTGATCAGTAAAATGAATGAATGAGCAATCAGATGACTGCAAAAGAACTCAACCTCCTTTACAACCCAATATTATGCTTTGTGACTAAAATAAACCTGATGTTAACAATTAAATTTTCAGCTGCCTCCGTTGTTGTGATGTGATGACACATAACTGACATTTGCTGTCTCTTAATACTTAACAACAACTTTTTACCTAAAGTTACATATGCATGTTATGTTACAAGACTGCACTGTAGACGAAACTTACCCAAACGTTTCTTTACCAACATAAAATTATCACATGAGTGCCTGCAACAATATTGCTATCCAAATATCCAAATATTTAGTCTAGTTTACATTCATTTATCCTCCATATTGTGAACTACAAGTGAAGGTGTTACATAATGACTTACGTGCAGGGAATCCGAACTATCACTGGCTATCATCATTGACCTAGCCTGCGTCAACCTGGTGTTTTTATCACTAACAGCAAGTTTCCATGAGGCCTAACTTCACAAGAGATAATAAGTGATGATTTTGTGTCTCTACTCCACAATATGGAAAATTAAAAACAGCATTTGATATTCAGGCTCAATCGATTGTGCATATTCTACGGAAATCACTGGGCGAGTGTAATTCGACCCTTCTCCATCACTTACTCTCTCACTGGATATATATACGTCTCTACGTACAGGTTTTAGTTAATTCATCCAAGGTGCTGAGTTACTGGACCCTATTTTCCAACTAGTAATCAGAAGAGATGCAAACTTCTCAGTGTTTCCTGGCTTTTAAGAAAAATATAACAACATAAAAAATGCTAAAAAACAGGATATTCAAGCCTTTTGAGCTCAAAAAAAGAAAAAAAAAAAGAAAAAAAAAAGAAAACAAGGGCATACAACTACACCATTACAGAGCCAGAAAACAGTGATACCATTTAACTGATTAGATGCACGTATATTGTCACAATGACTTTGGACCTCCACCATGCACATCTATCATCCACACCAGCAAAATGCAGGTGATACATGTACATACATATACTGTACATGTCATTAACTTTTTTTTCACTCTTTGACTGGGAATGGTAAAAAAATACAGTCCAATATGAAATTACAAAAACATTCTACAGCTTTATCTTATGATGTGCCACTTAAATTACTTTCCTTGCATATTATGAGAATAATGTACTTGAGTACATAATACTGCTTCAAAGTATTGTCAATAAAATAAAAAGAGAGGGTTATTGTGTTAAAAAAGAAACAGATATGGTTTTTGTTTCTTCAGTAGGCAATGTAGACAACATTAATCTATTCTCTAAGATACAAAAGCATGACAAAAGTCTCACTAATCATCAGGATTGCTTAAGTAGGCTTTAGGAAACAACAACAAAAAACAAGAGAGAAAGATCAATACAAATAAATTATCCAAATACAAAAAAAAGAATAATGAAAAAAAAGGGGGGAGGGAAGAAATATTTTAAAAAGAGAGCAAAAATATGTAAAACCTAAGTCTTGAAAAAATTTATAATAATAATAAAATATAAAGCATTTAACGACCACTTGTCACAGGCACCCTTGCGCTCGACACTGAAAAAGGCCTTTGGTGCATGGTCCATCTCCTGCCCTGCTTCCCCTCCGACTTATTCTCGATATATATATTTATATATATACACGAAGCACTCACACGCTTATCACACAGCAAGATTTATGCCTGAAGAAACATCTACAAATAAATACTAAAAGATGCAAATACAATGGGATAATGAGCATTTTTTCTTGTTTTCTTTTTTGCTGCCATTGCTATCTACGTTGAGGCCTTTACCAAATGGGCTCCTGAATTCACTCCCTTGAATTTTGGAATTATTGCACAGAGGCACATTGAGTATTTGAGTATTTCTATTTCCGCATCCAGTCTCCAAATATATGCTTGATGAAGGCGCGGTTCCACTAAATGATACTCGAAGGAGAATTAAACTGGGACGTTAAAATAAAACAAGTTACTATACCACGATAATAGTACATCTGCTGACTGGACCCATAAAAAGCATACTGTATAGAATCATGGAAACGCCAGCTGTTTTAACACAGCATATACAATTCTAACAACACATCTGGAATGTTGCATTAAAAGAAAATTAAAAACCAACAACGTCCACAATGAAAATTATATCTGTTAACAAATAAAAAAGGGTTAAAAAAAGAGGGAAAAATAAAACTAGGGATTTACATCCTAGACCTCACACAGCTAGCAAACACTGGAACCTACAAAAATAAGGCCATTCGTTTGACCTTGACCTTGGTTGGCAAAGTTGACGAAACTGGGTTGATGGCATAACTGTGTACATTGCTTAAGCCAGTCACACCACCATGTTAGTATTAACAGTCGTGGGGCCCTGCGGGTTGCTGCAACTCTGCTTTGCCCTCCTAGACCTACTGGCCAATCACCAAGAGGAAAGGGGAAAAATAAGGAAGACTAGAACAGGAGTCATACAAAAATATCTAGAATTGGCTCTCTAATAACAGGAGTGACAGATCATCTAGAAACACCAATTCTATTAAGTACACTTACTAATAATGAGCCTGCAGCTCTTACAGTCACCCGCACATACACACACACTTGATCACTCACACTTCAACCAACAATGTTTTAACATGACTTGGACTTCTCTCTACTCTGGCAAAAAGTGTCAATTTACACAGATCTGAGAACTTTCAAACAGCAGACAACAGTAATATCTGTATTCATATTGCTGACTTTTATTCTTACAATAAAATTTAATTCAGTATTCTAAATAAACTCAAATTTATAATCTTTTCTACAAGTCCAGTGTACCAATAGCTATATACATATATAACCAACCAAGCTCGGAGTCAGAAGCCCAGGATGCTGAACTTGTACTTATAAGAGACCTTCACTGTACTCTGGACTATCTAGCGTGATGGGGCGGGATCGAGCTGTCTGCAGCTTCGGCAGTGAAGGAGATATGGGGCTGAGGAAGGTCTCATCCGTGGAGAGATGTCCTGTGTGAAGCTCGTCTCCTGAAGTGTGGTGGAGAGATCTGACGAATCGTCCAGAACTGATGACGAGAAGCTTTGGGAGGGAAGATCTTGGGAGTCGGCAAAATTTCGCGAGGAGGTATTTGGTCCGAAGACAGCCCTCTCGGGGAGGAGAGAGCTTCGTCCCTGTCGACGCGAATGGTGATCCTATTGGGATCGTCGGGGCTCGAAGTAATGTATTTGGGGTTTTCTCCTGCAGGTGGAGGAGTTCTTGGGGCTTGAGATTTTGATGCTGTTGATTCTGTGTTCCCTGAGTATGGCACGAAGATACGTACTGTGTCAGGTGTCTCCGTGGCCTTAGGCGTAGCGGGCTCAGATTGCAGGGCCTCACCATCTTGCAAGGTCGTCTGACTCACAGACAAACAGGACGGCCTTGGGGTAGATGGGCTGTGCGGGGGCTACCCGCCAAGCCATTATGCACGACTTCACCTTCACTTTGAATTGACCTTGCATCACTGTGAACATCACCATTGGTCTGCGTAGGCAGCGACTGGGATGGCGAATGGTTGTTGGAGTGTCTGAACTTCTCTGTGGGAGACCTTGGGGAGCGCACTGACTGCACGGAGCGGGTGTCTGGAGAGATGAGGGAGCGACCTGACTGAATGGAGGCTGCGTCCATGTCACCACGCCTGGCTAGGGTGACCGAGGAGAGGGTGGAGAGGTCCGCCGCTGAGGTAAGAGATGTGTTGGCAAGGGAGGCCCGGGACCCTCCGACCCCACCCAGGCTGCTCACTTCATCAATGCTGCACTCCAGTGAATACCGCGACCCTGTAGCCGCAGCCAGCATTTGATCAGAACAATTTCTATTTGGCCATGCATTAAAATTACGTCACATCCAATAGACAGATTTTGGACTTCTTAAACAACAAAAGAATTATGCCATTTCATTGATTCATATAAAATCCAATAAATATTCCAATGACTGGAGTACAAGCATCCATGAAGAGACTACAATAAAATACCAAATCCTGGAAGAACTTTTGATCTATTAAAGAAACAAGTCAATTCTCTTTTAGAAGTCCCTTATCAATATCAACAACATCACTAACAATGACAGTTAATCAACGAAACACATTGTCATACTTACACAGCACATATTTGAGCAAATCTGCATCTTTAAGGAAGCAAGACAACAAGGTCATTGTAGTACAAGTAAAGCTGCCTTGTCCTTCACAAGTGTACATGCAAGCAACCAGTGCTAAATATTCACAGCATTTGACACAAAGGTCCCATGACATGACATACAACTACACATACACACACACACAAACACACACACACACACAAAAAAAACACTCTTGCAAAATACATGCAAACACACACACACACACACACACACACAAATATTTATACAAACAGATACCATGCACTAGTTCCATCTACTGATTTTCAATATTTGTTAACAATAACCCATATGAACCAAGTTCAGCCTTGTTCATGATTGAGTCGTTGAGTTGAGTTGTTCATTACAAGAGGCAAAAGACATCATCACTTCTTATCTTATTTGGAACAGTTCAGAATTTTGCAAACCTAAAGAGGATATTCATAGAGCACAGTAAATCAAACAAAATAGCAAGTGCTGTTCTTACTCCTTATACTGACATTAAACAAATAAACAAATAAATAAAAACTGAAGTGATAACATCTCTTCCCCTCTTCCACTTTTCCTCGAAGGGTTTTGTATATAATCAGCATGCAATGCCCAAAGCAAGAAAATAATAATGCTTTTCTCTCAACTGGATCTTGTTCATTCCCTTACAGTTTGCACTTGTGTTTCAGAATCTATCATACATATGTACACACACACACACACACACACACACACACACACACACACACACACACACACACACACACACGCACGACACACTCACACACACACGCACGCACACACTCACACACACATGCACGCGCACACACACACACACACACACACACACACACACGCACGCGCGCACGCACACACACCCACCCACACACACACACACACACACACACACACACACACGCACACACACGCACGCACGCACGCAAACACACACACACGCACGCAAGCGCACAAACATACACGCACACGCACACGCACACTCAAACTCACACACACACACTCAATCTTACACGCACATGCAGGTGTATCTATACGCATGTATACAAACATACACATATACCTAAATACACTTTTTTTTTTTTTCTGCGCAGCCACTCTCCTATTTTTTATCCTGGCTGTATCATCATACATAGCCATTAAAGAGAAAGAAGAAAAATATAAAGAAGAGGCAGAGGAGGAGGAGGAGGAATAAGAGGAAGAAAAATATAAAGAGAAGGAATATGAAGAGGAAAAAAATATAAGGAGGAGGACGAGGAGGAAGAGAAAGAAGAAGAGAGGAGAAGGAATAAGAAGAGGAAGAAGAAGAAGAGAGAAGGAATAAGAAGAGGAAGAAGAAGAAAGAAGGAATAAGAAG